CTCCCCACCCCCTCGGCCCCCCGCGCTGCATCAGGTCGTTCAACCCGAGCGTGAACTGCGCACAATGCCCGGCGGCCTGCTCCTCTGCTGCACGGGGCCGCCACACGGTCCAGGCCGTGATCGTGATCGACCCGGAGGCCTCGGCACCATCGCGATCAGAGGCAGTTTCGTATAGAGTTCATTTCCTCTCTCTCTACTGTATACTTCACATCTATTTCATCCCAAATGCCGCGCCCCGGCTCAAAGGTGACCCCATCATCACCTCGTCCACTTAATACACGACGGGAGACGAGATCAAACGACCGAACGACACGCGTCGAGGCCGAGCCCGACGAGGCCTCGGAGAAGCTGATGTCGAGTATAAGCAAAGGGCGGGAGAGAGGACACCTCTTACATCCCTCCTCCTCCGCCGCGCCCCTAGCACTCCTCGCTCCGGCTCAGGTCGCTACGCCTCCCTTAGCTTCGCCCCGTCAGAGAGTCGACACGACGACACAACGTAGGTGCGGGCGCGGGCGTCCGTCGGAGCCCAGAAGCATTGTCACCGAGCTGCAGCAAGAGGGACGGCGAAACAAATGAGTGTTTCATCCCTCTCGCGCCTCTGGTTTTTCTTTCTATCATGCTGTCCCTCTCTTTCTCTCTCTTTTGTCCCTCTGTCTCTCTCGGCACCGCCAGTGCTGCAGCGAGATACAAACAGGAGCGCGGGGCAGACAAAGGCGTCGCGGACGCGGCCGTGGCGGCGAGGTGCGCGGGGACGGCGGGGGGTAGCGATGACGCCAACCGAACTCCAAAGCGACCCTCCCCTTCCCCGCTCACACCCCCCCGGGGCCGGGGGCCCGGGGCGGGGCGCAACACAGTGTGGCGCTTGGAGGACGGACGCGGGAAAGGAAGGGGAGGGGGAGGGGGAGTCGGTGTGAGCGACCCAGGGTTTGGTTAGGTGGTTAGATTTATCCACGATCAGCAGCGAAAACTGGAGCACTGTAGCTGGCTGCGCATACATGAAGAAAGACGTGCTTTTCAAACAACCCCTTCAGAGAGGATAACATTAATGCAATCGATTGATTACACCCCTATCACGACATTCGCTCGCATACGCCACATTATCGGGTCCTGCCCTCCGCCTTCAACCGCGATTCACCTCTAAAGGTTTACGGAGACGGACGGGTGCTCCTGGATGTGGAGCACCCGGGGTGAACGCACGCCACGACCTCGTAGCTCGCCAGCAGCACCGCCGCGCCGCGCCGCCCGAGCAAATGCGTCGCGCGGGGGACGCGCTCGAGTGGGTGAACGGGCCGAGCCGAGCCGCCCAAACGCGTACCTGAGTGTCCTGGACGTCCTGCGGGAGGTCCTGGGCAGGGCAGAGGGGCTCGCTGGGTCGGGCTCGGTGAGGCTTCTCTGGCGACGGCTTGGGCGGGCGGAGCTCTGGGCTGCGGCGCGGGCGTGCGGGGCGGACGTGCGCGGCAGAGTGGAGAGCGGAGGGCTTTGTGCGAGCTGTGCTCGCGGGCCGGGGCGGCGCTAGCGAAGCTTCTCCCGCTCCAGGACCTCGGCCCGGCCCACCCGCCGCGGACTGGGGGTGGCGGTCGGGGCGGGCGCGCCTGGAGGGGTGGGGCGGCTTGCGCGTGGCGAGCGCAGGGTGCTGGTCGGGGGGGCCTCTATGCGCACCGCCCCCCGCCAGCCCGGGGGCCCCCGCCGCAGGCCTCGCCACAGGCCCCGCCGCAGACAAAGGGCGCGCCAGCGGCGCCGCGTCCTCCGTGTGGTGTGTGTGGGCAGTGATCGTCGAAGCGATGGCAACACGAAACCCATCTGTTTTACCACTTTACGACTTCGCTTTGATTTACAGGACATATCAGAAATGGGTTATTTGCGTCTTGTATCGGGCTTCCCAGCCGCTATTAAAACCGTGGCGTGGAGCCTCCTTGACTCCGGGCGCTTGTTAGGCAACCAGCCCGCACGCCTGCATGGCGGGCTAGTATACTCCTCCGATCCACGGCGCTGGCCGCCCACCTTGTACGATCGGAGCGGAGGAAGTGGGCCGCAAACTTGTGTTTCCAATCGGGCGTCGCTTTGCACAGCACCGTCTCTCCCGCTCACCCAACTTGCATGCAAAGGGCAGCGAGAGAGACAGACTGAGCAAAGGCGCTGACCCAAGGCACTGATACTGCCGGTACACCAAGAATACGGATTTTTACAAACAAAACTGTCCTCGTTCTTCTCAAATATGGCAAAAGGGGATTCTCGTCTCGATCCAAGCACTGCATTTTACTGTATTTTCCTCAGTCTGGTCAAAATTATTTTTCCTGGTACGTCTAGTAACAACATCGCCCCCTCCCGTCTCCCGTCAGCCGCACGTGAAACCCGCCCCTGCTGCGACTGTCCTCCTGACCTGAGGCCGGTGGTCGTCACGCCGAGCGTGGTCCAGGTCCAGGAGGGCACGCCGCCGGCCGCGCCGCAAGCACCACCTGTTCACTTTGTTTGCGACGCTCGGCTCTGTTCGCGACTTCGCGACGCGACACGCGGAAGACGGCGGAGAGGTGCCGGGGAGCGCCATCTGGCGGCGGCGAGCGCACGGGCCGCGGCCGCCGGACATACTCCCGGCCGACAGGGACGGCGACGTGAGAGGTATGGCCGCGGCGAGGTGAGTGTAGGGATTTTAATTTTACAAAAAAATGATATTTTGGGGAAGTTTTTCAAGAATGTTTGAAAGATTTTTTGTAATTTTTCTGAACAAGTTTTCAGTTTTCCCCATTTTTTTTCCTGTAAAAACTTCTACTTTTTCCGGGACTTTAAAAGGGAAGTCTCAGTCACAAGCCGGCTTACAATCAGTCTGAATTTTTATTAATTACTTATCTAAAGTTTGCCCGAATGAAACAATGATTCATTTCGCGGTCCAAGATAAAAACAATAAAATTGCCTAGGACAGAAAAGAGAAGGAAAAGAAAGAGAAACAAAAACGGACCACATCGCTTATGCACAAACACAAGCACCCGCATTATAATGGCAAAATGCATACATTGAGCAAACATATCACATGTCCCAAGAGTGGACGGAAAGCATTAGAGCAGGCCATAACACACCCGCCTCATCCCAATCGGCAGGTGACCGTGACGCTGCCAAAAAGAACATTTTAAAACTGACACCAGTTGACACGCTCCGAGGACAGTTAATAACATTTGAGATCACTATCAAGTCATGCGTCAATGACAAACAAACAAGCAGTAGCAGAGCACTTCTTAAAAAATAAAAAATAAAACTAAGACTACTTCGCGACCCTACTCATTACAAGTCTCAAGTTTCGCATAAAAACGAAAAAAATAACAAAGGCGACGAAAAAGAGTCAATGAGGTAGTTGGTTACGATAAAGGCGTCACCGGGCACTGACTGTCTTATCTTGATGTCCCTGAGGAACACAAGGTCCTACGAGCCACGGCCACGCGTCAGCGAGCGCCGGAACGTCGGTAACGCCGCCGCGACTCCCCAGGATCACGACGTGTCGCTCTGGGTGGCTTGGGGCGCACCGTGGAACCCCTCCGCCTCGCTGTCGGCTGGCGCCGAGTACACGATCTTCTCGATGGCCGTGAGCACCGCCATCTTGAACGAGTTCTTTTGACGCGCCGACATGAGCGCCATGTCCGGCAGCAGGCTCTTGAGAAAGTTGAGGTCCGCCTCGTCCGCGTAAGTCTCCAGGGGGTCGCGTTTCCGCTTCTTCAGCGACGTGTTCAGCGAGCCGACCGTGCCTTCCATCACCTACACAGAGATGTCACGTGTCGTGATCTATCTCCCCACCCCTCTCTCCCTTTCCTCCACTCTCCAACACTCACCTGGAGGACAGCAGGTCCGTCGCCGTGGTCTGCCCAGGACGATCCGAGGCTGTTCTGGATGAGGGTGTCGTCCTCCACGGAACGCGAGTCACCGTCCGCGGAGGTCCCAGGGGGCTGGTCGTCGTCCACCTCGTGCTTCACCTCGTCAATGTAGTCCATGGGGTCGAAGCCAGAGTCCAGGAGGCCGTTGCTGCTCACGTTGCTGGGCCTTGAAGAAGCCAAAGGGAAAAGTGAACGCCACGGGCCACGGGAAGTGTACGGCGCGGGGCCTAGCGCGGGCACTCACGGCCGGGTCTTGGTGAAAGGCACCACGAAGTCCATGTGCTCGGCGAGGTAGTAGGGCTTCTTGGGCCGGAGGCCCTGGCCGTGACCCGCCTGCTGCTGCTGCTGCCGTAGGTGGCGGCACAGGCTGGCGCGCAGGTTCTTCCACCGCTCCTTGCAGTTGCCCACTATGAGGATACCGAAAGTGAGGAGGCGTCAAACAGAGGGATGACGGCGTCGGACATCGCGTCCAGGAGGGTCGAGTGCGGTCGCGCACCGCGGGACTCACCCGTGTCGCTGCACTCGAGCGCCACGCGGTGCCAGGCCTCGTCCTGCAGCTCCCGGCTGGAGTGGCCCGGCAGCGTGTAGTCGTAGAGGACCGGGTAGCGCTTGACGCTGGCCACGAACGCCATGTTCGTGATGGGGTCGTCCTTCATCCTGGGCAGCTGCATCCTCTTGCGCGGCGCCCCCGCCGGCTTGAGGGCGGCGGGGTTGTGAGGGACGCCGGGGTTGGCAGCGGCGGCGGCGTCCGCGTCGGGGCCGTCAGGAGGCGCGCCGCCGTCGTCGACCTGGAAGCAGTCGCTCTGGAGTGACATGGCGTTGGCGCCGGGCGTGCTGCAGCAGCGTGCCGTCGTGTTGCCGTCCGTATCCCTGCCACCCGCAGCAACAATGCACAACAGCGGCGCGACCCAAGCCAGGGCCGTGTGTCCTTTGTCGTGCGGGAGAGAGACGGAGACAACACAGACGCGCGGGTGGAGGAGGAGGAGGAGGAGGAGGGAGGAGGGAGGAGGGAGAGCGCGCGCGGCAGCGAGAGCGGGATGGGCACGGAGAGAAATGGGGCGAGAGCAGACCTCAAGCGAGTTAGCAAAATTAAGCAGTAAAGGCTGGATATGGTTTTAATTCCAACCTACACAGTCCACACAGTCACTCCCGGCCGCGCCCGGGATCAGGGCATGTGAACGACAATGTTGCAGACAAGCAAGAAATCGGCGATATCGAGATTGTCAGAACACCTGGTTATCGACGAAAGGGGTTCTAAAGTCGATATACCAGGTGGCTGGTGACTAACCACGCGCACTTTTATAGTTACACTGTACTCTGCCACATACATGCAGGCAGGAGTGCCGGCGTGTTGCCTTACCTAATCGCTCGGGCCGTAAGGCGCCGTGGTCAGCGATGATATGCAAACCAGTACGCACGCCTGTATGCGGTACAGTTAAACAGTAAAAGTGCGCGCCACCTGGTATTTTCACCGCGGAAAGAATAGAACCCTATCTACTTGGGGATATCGCCATCAGAGGGAGTTCAATTATTTCTGCGCTGATAGTACAGGTATTGACCGGGCGGAAGAGAAGATAAAGAGAGGGCAGGAGACGGGGAAAGAGAGAGTACCGACAGCAACCCCGGTAGGTGGTAGGTACCGCCCGCCCCGGGCCCCCGGCCGCCAGAGCCCCGAGCGGATTGCACCCCTATCCTCCCTCCTCCCCCTCTTCCCCTGCCGCGGAGCGCCGCGGCCGTGGCTGCGGGGTGTGACGTCACTGCCGGCGTGCGCCAGAGGCCAGGGCAGCGCCAGGCCAGGGGGAGGGACAGGACGGGCTCTGCGCCGAGCCGAGCCAAAACCGTAGCGCGGTGCCGAGTGTCCATCCGCCGGACCCACCCCTAGGGTGCTCGTCCAGGCTAAGACACCGCCACTCGCCACTCGCCGCGGCAGTTCTACAAATGACCAGGAATAGCGCATGCAGCGGGCAAAGCCGGCTCTTGGGCTTGGGTCGGGGCGACGCAGAGGAGGAGCAGTGCCCGTCGTTCGCTCATTCATACTTACGCGGGGGTCTGTCACAGCTGATCGGGCCGCGGGGTCGGGCGGGGCGAGGAGGGGCGGCGGGGAGGGGCGGACCGGTGCGTGCACCCCGCTCCTTAGGATGTGAACTTCATGCCTTCGCATACTCGCGGCATGGTTTTCTTAAGTGCGCTGCAATCGATAGGGTAATGACTATTAAGCAAACTATTTCGCACGACCCTTTCAGAACCCTGATCCCATTCAGTGAACAAAACAGCACAATGTTAGCGCCAGAAAGCATGAAGAAGCGTTACGAAGAAAAACAGGTTGCGCAACAACAGCATACTTGGGATATTGTAGAGCACAACCAAATTAGAACAGGGCCGTTATATGGGTAAATATGAGATCTAAAAAAGTATTTAGTGCACATCCTTACCCGCGCCTGTCCGTGTCAGGGCGCCGCGTTGGGGTGGCGCTGGGCGGCGCAGGCGACGTGGAGCGCGCTCCCTCCTGCGTCTGCTGCTCGTCCGCGACGCGTCACGGACGCGACTGAGAGGCAAGCGGCAAGCGGCGTGGCCGGCGGCCGGGGGCGGCCCGGGCGCGCGGGGAGGCGGGGGCGGCAGACGCAGACGGTTGCCATGGCGACGGGCCGGGGAGCGAGCGACACGACACGTCCCTGACACGTCAGTCACGGGACGCGACGCGGCAGGAGGCAGCGCGACGCGGTGCGGCATGCGGCGCGGTGAAGCGCAGGGCGCCGCGGCCGGGAGCCGGGACCTGGCGCGCCGCGCCCGCCGCTCCCTTCGCGCCGGCCGCGCCGAGGTTCCCGCGCTACAGGCCCGACCGCTGTCTGGCCCGACCCGACGCGCTGCTCCCACCCGATGCCGGAGCGCGCTCCCTTCAAACGCGTGCGGCTGACGTGCGTCGGGCGCGCCTGTTGCGCTCGGCTCGCTTGGCTGCACTTGCTCTGAGGCTCTCAAGGCTGCACTTTGTCGCGCTGCATTATTTGCATTTAACCCACTGCACTGCCCGCCGCTTCTTTGCTGCGCCACAGTCCGTAAATGTTACATTTGAACCAAAGCTCTCTTGAGCTTATTTAAACCACAGGTCTCATAAAAACGAACATGTGCTTATTTTTGGAGCTGTCTGAAATATGAATGGTGGTCCTAACAGAAATTTGTTTATAATGACTTTGTTTTGCCATGTTAATGACTTGACTTGTCAGAACTTAACTGTATCTTTACCGGCGTATGGAGGGAAGGGTGGCATATGTAAACAGGGCTGGCACAGGATTATATGACAATAATCAATTTTATTCATTCCACAGAAACATAAAATAAAATTAAGTTTTTTACAGCCACTTCTGAAGGAGTCATTAATGCAAAAAGAAGAAAATGAAGCATAAATGAATTCTCCAGATATGATAACGTGCCAAGACTTGCAGTAAAAATGTGTTTAAAAAGAGACATGTTTTTAAATTTTAGTACAACAATGGGAATCATAACATGTTACACAAAATGATACAGCATTATTTGGCTTCGACAAATTAATTCAAAACTGCAAATTAACACAATAATTACATGCGCTTTATTTTTCGGGCGCTACCGTAAGCGTGCTGTGGAACACGCCGTTTTGTTTTGTTTAAATTAAAAATCATTGGTCTCTATACCAAACATAAAAATCCTGCAGACTTTACAGAGTCTGCGCACATTTATTTCGAAGAGTGGCGTGTGTTTTTTATTTGAAAGAAAATACTTTCACAAGTTTCGTTTCTCGTGCGTTAAAATAAAAAAATGATGAGCGTTCAGTTTTGAGTCCTTGGGCAAACAACACGAGGCGTGCGACAAGGAGGGCGTGCGAAGCGAAGGTGAGGCGAATACGGCGAACACACAGATGGCTCTGTCGCGGTTGAGAACCGGTGCGGAGGACTGGCGTAGTGCGAGCAGAGATGGTAGACGGGACGCTGGCTGGCTGGCTGCCCGCACCACGACCGTCTGCTTCGCGCCGGCTACCATGGCGAAGAACTGAGGCGATTTTCTAATTTTTCTGTCATTATTTTCTGTGGTCCACCAACGTTTGCAAAGCACGCCATCGTTTGCAGAAAAAC